TGCACCTTTCAGTACTCTGTGATCCTGGGGGCGTTGGTAAATGCAGGCATGGACAACAAAAGGGGTTCACAACCACCTTAACTTTCATTAAACTCACTTTTTGATATTAAGACTGAAACTCTGAACTCTTCCAGCAATACCTGACAGCGCCGGTAATGGGCAGAATCAACCTTGTAAACAGAGCTCTGATTCAAACCACATTCTCAGTTATCATAACTTCTTCTGCGGCCCATGTGCCCTTGCCACTCAATCCTGGTTACTTGTGCTTAACGATGCGTCTGTTTTAACCAAGGATATTGGTGGGGAACAGGGGGTGCTAATAACAGTACAGAAGTCAGGCCCAGTTCAAGAGAAGAAAGACCTTGGTAGTCTTCACCAAACAGGCGGTGGTACAGGATTCCTACTCCCAGGACACTGCTACTCTCATGGCGTAACTAGAGGTAAGGAGATTCTTCTGGCTATTTATGATCTATCACCTGCTGACTCTGACAATATGGAAAATCCTACTGGAAATCCCACCAGGAAAAGCCTCCATGGTACCCTGCTGGTAAAGACTTCTTGTGGAAGACAAAACAAAACTGACCCATGACTTTCCTATGTATTTCTTCATTCATGCTCCACTGATTTCCAGACTGCATAAAGACAGTTTGGATGAAGAAACTCAGGATCAATGAAACAAGCACTGATGATAGCAGCTGGCATTTGAGGACATACTGGGTGCTCCTTAGAAAACTTCTGTACCCCTTTTTTTCACAGCAACTTCTTATCAACTTCATTTTACAAGTGGAAAACAAAATGGGATTCCACTGGTGACGGTACTTCTCTATGATACTGCTTCCTTAAAGTCTGGTGAAGTCCAAGTGAAAAGGCAGAACAAGGTTTCTAGTAACTAAAGGCAAGGCCAAGGGAAGGACTCAGAACTGGAGACAAATATGAATTTGAACTTCCATCTAGCCAACCCATCTTAAAAATAAAACAAAACAAAAAACAAACATAAGATGAATCAGCCTCAGTAGTATATGACCAATCATCCTGGTTTGCAAGGGACTGAGGACTTCTCACAATGTAGGATTTCCAATGCTAAAACCGAGAGATCTGAATACCTTACCAGTATATTTTGGTAGTATTTCACTAGGCCTCCAATCATTAAAAATATGCAGACCTTCACTGATTCCTTTAATTCCTCATCTCATTATCATTAAAAATACTAAATAATTTTTTTCAATATTCTGCTCAGGAAAGAAGAAAGGGTCGTGGATAAATGAAGACCTGCTAATTGTTAGGTTTCACTCATCTCATCTAGCAGTGTAATCAACAGTCTGAATAAGAAAGGACTAATATTCTAGGCTAAATTTTGGTCTATCAACTCCAGCTGTGCTTTGATCTTCTGTTCTAAAGTCAGATAGGATTACTTTCCTAAAAAGAAGAAGAAGGAAAAAAAAAAAAAAAACCTATGTCACAAGCAAATTCAAGGCAATGGTGCTTAGAAAGCCTGGTAGCAATCTTGTCAGTTTACAGATAAGAATTAAACCAAAAACCTCTTCAAATTGGATGAAAGCTCAGGCTAAAGTCAGCAAGCTCCAGGATGATGACAAAGGGGTCTGCTTTAATTGCAGCCTTAACAAATCAGACTTAAAAAGATCCTGACTGCCATTCGATGCAAATGTTTTTATGATTAAACTGAGGTGTGGCGAAGAGGAATCTGTTGTAGGGACTGGCTAGCCACCAAGCTGAGCTGAGACAGAGGGCAGAAATGGGAACTGAGCTAGTCCTTAGTTAAGGTAAGGAAACACCTAGTGCTACCACCAAGTTGTGTAGAAGAAGACAAAGAGCCATTACAGAGACAAGATTTTAACTTCAATCTAGTATCTGACACAGGTCTTCACAGAAATTAGGTTAAGTGAAAAAATGAAGTGAATGCTTTAAGAAACCAGAGCAAAGTAAATGAACAGCCATTCAAATGGGAAGACAAAATACAGGAAAGGAGCATACTCTGCCATGGCATATTGAAATTGAAAAAAAAAAGAAAAAGAAAAATTTTAGGTTCAATATCTCATGAGTATTTTCTGGCCAATTTAAGTTTCTATTTAGATTAACAGCAACATTTTAGTATAATCAAAATATAACATGACTGCATTCAAAGACAATACAGGAATACCTGCTATCTGCTAGGGACCAGTGCACAGTGCTGGGTCATCAGCTTAGATGAAAAAGTAATGCTGAGGCAAAAGTGAGCCAGGTTCCTGACAAAACACACCTTAAGGCTCTAGAAGACCTGCAGGCATCCATCTCAACTTCTCATGCCAATACATAATCAAATCTACTGAATCAATCAGTAGACTAGGCAGACAGACTAGTATATAGAAGAAAGAAAAGAAGGGACGAAGGAAGGAAGGAAGGAAGGAAGGAAGGAAGGAAGGAAGGAAGGAAGGAAGGAAGGAAGGAAGGGAGGGAAGAAAAAACTGATTATAAAAAATGGACACCGGGAGAGTGGTGCATGCCTTTAATCCCAGCCCTTGAGAGGCAGAGGCAAATGGATTTCTATGAGATTGAGGCTAGCCTGGTCTACATAGTGAGTTCCAGGTACAGGTATTTAGTTCTTGTCTAAATAAAAGAAAAAAAAATAATAGATATAGATTGAAAAATAGTAGACAATACATATAAAGATGATAGGTATAAGATATAGCTAGATGGAAAAATAGTAGATGATATAGAAAGAAAAATAATGACAAAATAATAGATGATAGATACAGATATATAGATCAAAAACTAGTAAGAGATGATAGGTCAATAGAAAAATAATTATAGATGATTGAAAGACAGAAAAATAGTAATAAAGGTTGTATGAAATAAATGACAAGACACCTAGACGTGTCATGTTGGGCAGAGACAATCACCTTAGGTAGGGAAAAGACTAAAAAGACAGCACCAGGGGCTTCGTATAAGGGCAAGGGCCTAGCTAGCTTGAGGCATATGATCATCAGAGCATAGACGACTCATAGCTATGAGAATCTGCTAACACACAGCACTGAGAGGCAAGAATCCAAGGGGTGCTTGGGTAACAGGAAGCCAAGCTGAGTGGTTGGAGCAGAAGGTTCAGGGAGGCAGCGAACTGGTGATGAAAAGCCACCCTGGCGCCACCTGGGAAGAGCTCTGTGTTCCAGGCTGGGCTCTGGTGACAGCCTGTCTAGGTTGCCCTTTCAAACCTCATTTTACAAGACATTTAAATGATAATAATAATAATCTGATCTTTCAAAGTTATCACAGCTAGATCTAAGCAGATTAGTTCTAAGGAGGCATGATTTTTTTTTTAAATATCTGTTAGCATTCATGGTTCACTACTAGAATCCTGTGGCCCAAGAGCAAGTTAGCAGATATCTGCAGACCTGAACTTCCTAGTCATTTCCCAAGGAATCTGTACTAAACAGTGTTTATTTTGCCTGACAGGAAACCAGATCCACAAAGTTCTTTGAGATTCTTTAATACAAATATCCCCCTGCCAAAGTAAGCTACAGCATGCACAAATTTATAACATATTTGAATAGCGGATAAATGGAATAATACTAAAATAGAGAATTTGAAGCAAATACATATTGCTCAGAGAAACCATCTGAACTGAAAAAAAAGTCAAATTCACCTTAAAAATATTTTCTCAAATTCATGTCAGCAATCCCTCATAATCACAAACAGATTCTAATTTAAAGTAGAAAGTTCTTAGAAACAGTGCATATCACTGACCCTTTGCAAAGACTTTCTTCTGGTTCTCTCTTTTTGTTTTTGTCAAGCCTGCTGTTTTAGCTTTCCTGCTTTGCATAAAGCTCATCACAGGTGCTTAAGTGGCTTTTTAGAACATACTTACACAGCATCACCCTAGTATTTACACTAATAGTCAGGCAGTCAAGGAAAAGACTTTTGTTTGGTTAATGTTTCTGAATTTGAGAAGGATTTGTTTGTGTGTGTGTGTGTGTGTGTGTGTGTGTGCATTTGGAGGTGGCCAGAGCTACTAGCTTTTCTAATGCCCACATAAAACAATTTCTCAGAAAAAGAAGCCAGTGACTTGGACATGCCTTGAGTTCAATTCTGCCAGGAGTAAAAAGACCCAACAGAGACCTAACTTCCTTCTATCTTGGCTATACAATAGTTTTCAAAGAGGTTGAGTCCTATTCTGAAAGACTCATGTGAGACATCGAAAGGATGTCACAGAGAATAGACACCAGGCCTTAAATAAACAAGAGGCATGGCAGCCTCCTGCTCCTTCTGCGGAAAGCCCCAGTATACCCCACAGCGGCGACCAGATAAGAGCCAGTGTGCCCAGGTGCTTCAAGATCCTGGCTTCTGGGTTTCTCCCACACTTTCTCCTGAGTCAGTTTAAACCTCAACATGTCTTCTTTAGTATTGGGAAGTTAAGGGAAAGTAAAATTCCTGGGACCAACTGTTCCACAGTCCTTTAATCCTTTGCTCCCTACATTGTTCAAGTCCTGCAGCATGCAGCCCACGTTTCACTAGCAACAGGCAAGACAATGGATTTAGCAGGGGTTGGACATTTAGTCCCAATTAGGCCTATTTCCCAGCCGAACGTAAAGGCATAGTGGGTGAAGTGTAAGAAAATATTGCAGAGATTTTAAAGAAATAGTTCATCATGGAAGTAAACAATACAGGGTAAAGCAAATTGAACTAGGGGTGAAGGTAAAATTCACTGTGCGGTGTTAGGAAAATACCTTAACCTTTCTGTTTTTATCTACAGAATGTGGGCAATTCCGAGGACCTAAAGCTTGCTTGTGTTTGAATGTGCTCTAAAAATCTAAACAGTTATTCAGCTGTAAAGGGTTTCTCTTGGTCTATATTTGAAACCACAGATACCCATCTGTTTTATAAATCATTGACTTTCATTCTCCCTAGCAAAATGCTAAGAGAGAACAGTTTTCTTTCACTTTATTTCTGTTTTCTTGATTGCCTTTTTTTTTTTTTTTTTTTTTTTTACATTCATGAGAAATACTTACATATGCACATGTGGCGGCTGGAATCTGCTCTGGTTGATGTTGTAGTGTGTGAATGCCTGGGTGGGGTTGGAGCTATACTCATCCACCGTTACGGTAACTTTGCCTTGAGAGGGTATCCCATGTGCCATCCTTCCTCCCTATAGGCATGAGCAATTCACAACTCTCCGGAGCAAAAGCTGCAAGCAGGCATGGTGCGTTTCAGCCAACCTCTGAATCCAAGGATCTACGCATCAATACCGCTGTGCGTTCTAGAAGAAAAAACATTTATATATATACATATGTGTGTGCATGTGTGTGTATATATGTATATATTTATAATAAGAACAAAGTTAGAGAAGGTTCTAAAAGACATTAAGCTTGAAATCTAGGCATAAAGTTGGTTCAGAAAAAAATCCAAATCACTGTTATTTTCTGGTGGATATTACTGTTACTAACTCTCCTTCCTGCATGTCCTTCAGAGTGGACGGTCCACCCTGCCTGGCATTGCTGGATGCTAGTTCATCATCTCACTGAAGTTCAAACTAAGAATTCTTCTCTAATTATAGTCATGGCACTTGCCGTGGATTGCAGTAAGGGCAAATCCACAGTTGCCATGGTGTCTAGCTATAAATGGTTTGTGCTTGAAGACTCCAAGTCTTCCCTGCTAATTGAAATATTTGGTTCTTACAAAGTCAGTATTGTATCATACTCTTGATGCTTCAACAATCCATGTGAGCTAGTGACAAATGCAAATTGAAGATTCTGTGCTCACCACAGGTACTTGGGCATAACTACAGTACTCACATGATACACATGTTACTCATAAGTTTTTATTACAGAAACCATTTCCTAAATACATAATTCCTGGTATACATACACGTTTCTCTCTGGCCAAGAACTTTATGGTAAGGCAAATCCTGCTTGCTAACTGTAATGTACTTTCTTTCAACACTCAAATCACTGAAGGAAAGCCAGATGCTACAGGATTGGCCCACCACTTTTTATTTAAAATCCTGACCTCCTCTTCCAGCCTTGATGGAGCATTTAGGGAGAGCAGCCGGTACACCTGCCTACTGTAACATCTATCACTTCATTATCGGTAATACATATTCTTACTAGTTGGTCTCGTTTTCTAACAAAATTCCCATTAGCTCTGATTCTTTTCACAAATATCAATATAGTAGTAGTCACACTGAGTGGAGAAATGACGATGTCTGTTTTTATGGCAGATGTTCAAAGATGGAGGAAAGCAAACCCTTGCACAGAAGCTGCTGCAATACATCAGTTTGAGGGAGTGGGAGACATGGCATACTCCTTGGGTAACCCGTGGCTAACCTGCACTCTTACTTTGAATGCACTATACCAGGATTCATTTCCCATGTGCACCAGTAAGCTCCAGAAATCTTAGCTGTTATCTCCAATAAAAATATTTAGAATAATGACTATATTGAAATTTGGCATGTAACACCTTAAAATATGGAACAAAAGGCAGATGGCCTGCCATAGGCCATTTATTTTATTATTTTGCAACCCGGGGCCATCCTCCATATGCTTAGCTAGGCTAAGAAATTCCACAACGTTCTACTCAAATCATTGCTTTCTTCACAACAGCAAAGCAAGCCAAGTTATGCCCACCTGGCCCATACTCCTAACAATCCCATGGCCAAGAGATGAGTCCCCAGTGGGCGCTCCAGCATGTCACTTTGGGTTCTCACTCTTCTCCTTGACTTCACGGGACGTACAACTCCCTTAAGCACCAGTTGATAGACAATCTGGTCAGTAGGATTAACTAAGTCAAAATCTTCCCCAGCTCCTCTGATGTAAGCTATCCACAAGAACTGCTTACAAATCATAATGTAGCAGTTTTCATACCAAATTTGCAGCTGTTTCCTTAATTTCCTCCACAATTATATTTTACTGTTATTTTGCATAACAGTAAAACACAACACCTGCTTCAAATTGCAGTCCTGTTCTAAGTACTGTAATTCTCTTTTGAGACACAAAGTACCGAGACACTACTGAAGCGCAAAACTGCATAATTGCGTGGCGCTGAAAAGTAAATACAAATGAAAACATCTTCCTGTTATAGAAATGACTGTCATTAAAAAGAATGTTAGCCATCAAAGCACAGAGGGGGGAAAACACACATCTCCAGACTACAAGAACTTAGCGTTTGCATAAATTAGAGAGCGGTATAAAAATTACTTGGCAATCCTTATGTTCTTTCCATCAATGTCTATTGTGTGAGATACAGAACCTTCTGAAGCAAAGGGAAACCAAATTCATGTCTAGACTACCGTGACTTCAGAGTAAGTTTCTCTACCCAGAAAGAGTCTAAATGTTTGCAGAGGAAACTTATTAAACTAAGCAGGCTGTAGGCCAGAAATAAAATATGCATAGTGAATATTTACAGTGACTTGGAGTAATCAGAATGAAACCTTCTCAAGCTGTCCTGTTAGAATCCAAGAGGAGGCAGAATTTCCAAAGTGACCACTTCTAAATGGTCCACTCTGTCCTCCAGTTACCCTACAGATTACCCCTTTCAGTCAGAGAAAGCCTATGCCCCTTTGCACCTTTGCCCCAGCAAGACAAATAGAACATCTTTTCATCAGCAAGCCCAGGCCCCTGCAATTCTGAAGGGCTAAATGGGTGGCTGGTACCTCATTTGAATTCATCTTTGCCATGTTCCCTTTCAAATGTTTTATCGAAACAGTGCACCTGCAGCGTCTATCTGTCTATCTTCTTTAATCTGGAGTCCTTTGAAGGAAATGTCAGACTAAGGCAAAGAGCTTCAAAACTTTCACAGCACCTTTACAGACAAGTCAAGAAAAGGCTTATGTTTTTTAAATGCTATATTCCTCTCCACCCATATTTCAAAATCCTGAGACTGGTGGTTTTGGGGGGAAAAAAACTCTCAGAGACAAGACAATGGACAAAATCACATCCCTTCATGTGAGAATTTGGAAGGAGCTTGAAAGAAGAAAGGACCCTGCCTTAACCTGTAAGGAGGCCACATCACCTGCTTTCAAATGCTCAGGCTTTAAATATCCCAATGACGGTATTTTGGTATACCACATCCGCTTATCACAATAACTTTCTATACACAATAAAGACAGCTGCTTTTTAAAATTTTCATTTTCAACTTCAACACATTTTATCCACAAACAAAGGCACCCAGCACCAAACGCCAAGATTCCTAAAGAAAAATCAGAAAAGGACTGTCACTGCCAAACATTCAGGCTGGCGTTTGTTTAAAAAAAAAAAAAAACATCACGTGAGCACATTTCGCATTTCCTAGACAGCAGTCACTTCTCCTGTCCCTTAAGCTGCACAATTCTTAATGTTCTTTTCGAGGAACCCTCTTGGAAAACCTCTGAAAGTCTGCTGTCAGAGAGGGATGAAAAACTCAAGACTTAAATAACTGTCTCCACCTCCTAGACACCAGAAACCCTATCCATCCAAAGTTTCAAAGCAACAACTTGGGTCTTCTCTTTCTTGTGCACCGCCTGGGCCGAACCTGGGAAGAAAGAAGCCCTCGATTTCGCTTTGGTGGTTTAACCATGGATGCTCATATTAATTATGAAGACTGTCCACCGCCGACAAACAGGGCGGAGTGACTCTGGAACTCGCCCGCATCAACCCCGCCAAATTTCATCCTCTCTTTGCTCTGCGCTCTCTTTAGCCCTTACTCTTTCATGCCCACTTCCAGCATGTGGGAGCGATGCCCACACGCCTTCCCTGCCGCTTCTCCGCTAGAGATGCTGACAAAGTTCCACGTGCTTCTGTCCACTGAGCGCCCTCCCTCCCATCGCACTTACACCTGAACTTGTCTCCAGCACTGCTGACACCCAGCTGGCACATTCTTTCGGAGAGGGAGGGCACGACTTTTTTCCTGTGCCTCTGACAAAGCCTGGAGTCTATATATGGTGGGGCGGGGGTGGGGGGGTGTGCAGAATTCTCTACTTTGGATTGGTTTGTTTGTTTTAAATCTAGGGTGAGCAGTTGGGGTGGGGGCGACAGCTACAGCTACGGGGCGCGCGCGCGCGCGTACACGTACACACACACACACACACACACACACACACACACACGCCCTGACCCGCCGGCTCTCTGCTCCTGATCCTGGCCATAACTCGGTTCTCTTCTTTCCTGCAGCACCAGCTCCTCTGAGGCGCTCAGTCCCTCCCCCCATCCCCCCAATTGCCACCGCATCGCCGCGGCAGCCACCCCCGCCGGCACTTAGTACTCTAACAGCCCCAGGATCGGCTGAGAACCTTTCCTTCCCTCTCTTCCTCTCCCCGTAGTCCTGGACTGATTGATGACCATGACCACCAGAGGCCAAGGGCTCTGACACCCCGCCATCCTCGGTGGGGCATCACCTTCCCATGGTTCTGGACATCAGCCTCCGGGACGTGTTGACATCCTCGACCCACAGGGCAGAGCCCGAGCCCGCGGCCGCTGCCGCATCCCCGTTCCATGCTCCCGGAGCTGCCGGTCTCCTTCCCTACAGTGGACCCAGCCAGAGAGCTGGAGGGGGTGTGAAGCCCACCCACCCCCACCCCCATTTGGAAGTCTTTTCTTCTGGTTAAAGTTTTGTTTTCCCCACCTTGACCTGTTCATGTCTGTTTGCAGCATCACAAATCAATTACACATTTTCCATGACCCGCATTCTCACTGAATTCGGGGTGCTGGTGGGGGTGCGCTATAAATCAACCCCACTGCGCATCTTTCAATGTTTTTTTTTTCTTTTTTTTTCTTGCTAGTGGATTGGATACCAACTCCCTCTCTAACCTCTAGGGAATAAAAAATGCCCTCTTCACTTCCTAGGCCTCAAATCCCTGAAATTGGAAAGCTTTACAAAGATAACCTTGTCACGTGTAAAAAAATCATAATAATAACAAATTTTTAAAAACCAAAAAACTCCTGTCTGGGTCGAGAAGAAACCAGGCGGCAGCTGTTACTTTTCCAGGCTGCCGTACCGTACCCCGCTTCCCGGTCCCCACCGCAGCTCGACTAGCCCCCTCCTTCCGCAGAGCTGTGATCGCCGAGCCCCGAGAGCGAGGTCGGGGCGCGGGGACCTGCTGAGAAGAGCTCCACGCGGGAGCGAAGCGCGCGCGGGCGGCCTGGGGTGGCGACGAGGAGCGGCCGGAGCACAAAGCTGCGCGGCGCCGTCCGAGCCTCTGCACCTGGCCTCCGGCCGCGGGCGCTGGGCTCGGGCCAACACAATGCGCGCGGGCTAGGCCGGGGCGGCTCGAACACACGACCCCGGCACTTTCTAGTAAACAGCTCTCGGAGTCTGGGTCCCCACCCCCATCGCAGCCTCCAGGCTCCGGTCGCCAGACTGCTGCGGACAGCTCCCCTCCTCCAGAAATCCGGGCGGAGGAGGGGGCAGGGAGGTGAGGACCCCAAGAGGTCCGGGGCCGAGGGCTGCGGGGGAGGGGAGAGGAGGAAAGGAGGAGAGATGGGGAGTGGGAGGGAGGGCAGCTAGGGATAAAGAATTCGCTTTCGTTCCGGGGGCTGCAGATCTCCCCTCCCCAGATCCTGGCTGGCCCGCCCGGCCAATGTCAGGGTCGGCGGGGCCGCTGCGCTCCGCAGCCTCCGCGCCCTCGCACGCGCCTCTGACAAGGCACCTCTCACCCGGGCTCCGCTTTGTGTGTGCATTTTTTTTCCCTTCCTCTGGCGCTTGGCACCGGCCGCCCGGCCGCCTCCTCCCCCTCCCCCGCCCTCCGCCTCCCTTCCCGGGGCGGATTACCTTTCCCGGGCTGCGCTCCGGGTCCCGGGGATGCCTTCAGCGCCCGGTGTGCGGGCTAGCCATCGCCGAGCTGCCCGGCCGGCTGCGAGCAGCGCTGGGGGCGGCGAGGGGCGCGGGCGGGCCAGAACCTTCGACCCCGGAGGTCCCCGCCGCCGAACCGGGCGAGCAGGGGGCGCGAAGCCAGCGGGACTTGGGGTCGGGGCGGGGGGCGGGGGGAGCTGGAGAGCAGAGCAGAAGCCTCGATCTGGGAAGAGAGTGAGCGAGGGGGCGAGGAGAGGGAGAGAGGGCGCGGCGAGCCGGAGGGAGCGCGAGCGGTGCAGTGACAGGGACTGCCACTGGGGTCAAAGGAGCAGAGCTCCAGGAAGCTGGGCGGCCCGGGCGCCTCTCGCTGCGCGCTCCCAGGCGGGACCCCGCGGCCCGCACGCCCCTGCCGTAGTTCCGGCCCACTCGAACCCCCACCCGCGCCCCGAGGCCGCGGGGTTTCCAGGAGAGGAGGGAGCGGAGGGCGAGGCCGGCAGCCTGCTGGTGCTCCCGGGTCAAACAGGCAGCAGGAAGCTGAGCTGCAAGTTCATCATCAGGAGTGTGATCTGCGTTCAAAATGATAGGGGACAGGGAGGTGGGGGCGGGCTACAGAGCGCCAGGAAAATAGGGGAAGCCACCCCCCAGATGGGCGTCTTCTGTTAAAAGAACACCCAGGGCCCCGGCCCATGGACCTGTCTGGTTGTGTCAGAGCCTGGTACAGCTCCAAGGTGCAGACTAGGAGGGCGGAGGGCGACCCCAGGTTCCCTTGCCTCTGTTGAGCTGAGGGGTTCTTATGAGGGGTAGCAAGGATCCTATCTCCGCAAGTCTCTCTCTCTCTCTCTCTCTCTCTCTCTCTCTCACTCTCTCTCTCTCTCTCTCTCTCTCTCTCACACACACACACACACACACACACACACACACACACACACACCTCTGTCTCTGCAATGTTCCTGAGAAAGAAAAGGCCAACCCAGCTGGGTTTTTTTTCACCTCCATGAATTAAGACAGGTTCAGGGTAAGAAGGGGGACAGGCTAAGGTTCTAATTGTTTCCTCTCCCTCCCGCCTCTTTGGCACACACTTTCTCTCCCCAAAAGACATGCACTTGAAAAACATTTTAAAAACCGAAGTTACTCCCATTTTCTATGCTACTTTGAAAAATGGAAGGGGGGCGCTAGGAATTGTATGCAAACAAGGTAAGAAAAAGAAAAGCTGCTGGAACCGAAGACAAGGGGCAGAAGGCTTTTTTGGAAAACTTAGTTGGCGTGGTTGTCGGTGAAAGCCGAGGTGGCCTGTCATTGTCAGAACTGAAGGACTTGGAAGGCGACCAGATCTAATTCCTTTCTAGAGTCAGACTCAAAGATCTCTCTCTGCCTTCCCTTCTCCGGAGGGAACTCCGATGCATGTGCGTGAGAGAGAAAACTGTGCTTAGTATAGTGTGTGACAACTGACTAGACGTCCTGGCTGAAATTGTATCCCCTAAAAATCAAAAGGAGCCATTTCAACCTGGTCTGTGGCCTCTGTGCTGAGACTAATTGGTTTCCAAGGTCTGGAGAGGAAGAGAGAGGCTGGAAGGAGCCCCAATAAAAAAAGATCAAACGGAATTCACTTGAAAATATTTCCCTTTTACAATGGGCTTTCCTGGCACTTGAATTTTAAGTAACCCATCTCTTATGCCTGGGCAGAAATGAAGGGGAAATGGTCTTACTAATGTACTTACTTTATTGTGCAGCAGCAGAGTGTCGGTACTTGTCAGATGTACTGAGATGGAAAGGGTAGTGCCTTTCCTTGCCCAGCAGAATCATAACAAGTGACATTGACGTTAAAGGATGCCAAAGGTGGGGTGAAAGGGCACTCATATTTTGTTTTCTTTTGTTTTCCAGCCCAACAGTGAACACTGGATAGAATCCTGTGTTTTGAAGGGATGCTAGATTTTGTTTCCCACAGGAGTTAGCATTATATGTCTCTCATCTAAATAGTTTGAATTTTAAGACTAATTTGGGGTGATTTAATCAGTTCCAAGAAAATCACAACCCAAATATTTTTGGTGCCCTCCCCCCTTGGACTTGGACTGGTACTCAGTCAAAACAGCCAAACTAGTTTGAACGTGATTTAGAATCTAAATGTGGGTATACAGACACTGAATAACAATATGTTCTATTTACTAGCATATTTTACTGGATATTTAATGTGATTTTAAAAAGTCACACGTGTGATTCTTTACAAAACTGGTGGAAATTTATATACCATTTTACTGAGTGAAGAAAATTGAGGCAAAAAGATTCAAAACTGCAATTTGTAACACAGGAAGAAAGCAGCGTCTATGGGTTCCTGCTGATAGATCAATTATCCATCAGTGACCAACTTGTATGTGGGTTATGAATTTTTATTTCCATTAGGCTACTAAAATAAAGAAACTGGAGAAATGTAAGTGAATTTAAATAGTAAGTCAGGAACAAAAGGAAGCCACCTTTCAAATAATTCTCATTATGTGAATTTGAGCTTGCTGCATTTTGAGAAATTATATTCTCCATAAATGCAGTTACCTACATTAAAGGCTTACTTTAAGATGATCTGATGCAGGCCATATCTATCTCCTGACACAAGCTTTGATGTGTTGCTTCATTTACATTAGATTTTAAATGCTGTAAGCTAGAGGTTTTTTTAGATAGGTGAGTCTGTAAGTCTCACTTCTGTTGTTATTAAATTTAATTTTTATTGTGTATAATGAAAAAAGAAAAGTCAAATGTGAAGTTTATAAAGGCTTTAAGCAAATATTGCATTTTTTCTTTGGATAGAATATAAAGCTGGATTCTTTCTAGGGACTTTCTTAATATAACTGGTAAATATGTTCCCTAAGAGCTCACTATAAAACCCTGTAAAATATCATTCAGAAGGCATTTAGGAAAGACCATGAGAGGAACATGGGAGAACTTTGGTTGGAAGCTTGGAAAGAGACTGGGATGCATCAATCACTTTCCAAGAATATCTTGAAAGTTCAATACCTTGTTGGAATTACTGCTTACCCTCCTGGTAGAACAGCTTTTCCAATACTCCAGGCATAGGACATACCAAAACCTGGGTTAGTCCTGTGGTTCTTTTGAACGAAAAAATGATTGAAATCATCACATTTCATTGAATAATTTCATTGAAATTATATGCATTTTGCGAAACAAATACATGTTACCTCTCTTGTCTTTGAGCTATGCACATTTTTTAAACATTTTCCACCAAAGACTAAGAAAAATACCACTAGAATGGGAACGCTTTGTAGGCTGTTGCTGAGATAGAATAAAAATAAACACTCAGTTCACAAACTATTTCTTTATTCTGAATCCCCATGGTTCTTACTTTTTTTTAAACTTGTTTCAAATATTTTGATTGTAACCCTCTCCACAGTTGATGAACTATGCCTTGTATTTCTTTCTGCTCTCTATGCTACATACAATGCACATAGAAACTTGAAAATATTCATTAAATGACTATATGAGTCCATAAATGAAAAAGCAAAGGAGAGGACACACCAGTGAGTGAGGCAAGCACACAATGAAGGACAATCCCAGCCAGATCTGCAAGAAAGGAAGTGACATCACCAGGCCAGCCTTGGGGGATCAGAACTTTCCAGAGGGCTAAAATAGCTCTATTTAAAGGGTTTGCTAGTGTCTTTAGAAACATGAAATAACACATAAGACCATTTTAGAATATTATTTCCTCAGTTTGAAACTGAAGACTATTCTGTGTCATATCTGTTTTAAGACTTCTTTCTTTAAACATTGCAAGGTACCAAAATAGGAGGAAACAGGAGCAAAAATTGTGCCTTAAGATTTACAAAGGAAGTTTATTAAATTTCTTTAAATGAAACTTGTGATTAGTCTGATCTTTTCATGCATCTTTTTGTAAAGTGTTCAAAATAAGTATATGAATTATTTGGAGTTCATTTTATTTAAAATTTCTATTTGGTTAACCAATAAAAATACACATCACTAAGAAAGATTCAGGATTTACTAAAATGGATGAAATTTTATTTCATTAAGTTTTATAGTTATTGTATTAGAAAAGCTAAATTTGATCAGCTTTTCTGGCAGGTGAAATAACAAGCCCACAACATATGAAAATATTAAAAACTTGCAAAACATTAGCATGAATCAGAGGTTTTATTATGTCTATTATTATATGTAACGAATGTACTTACTGTGCATATAATGAACTAGACAAATATTGATGTAATAATTAATTCCTTCATGGTGCTATGGATTGAACCCACAGTCTCATGCACACTAGACATGTGCTCTGCCACAGTGCTGCAGTGCTACAGTAAATAATTTCAAGAAATAATGAGCACGGGTTAGACTGTTTTCAGTTTTAATATCCATTACAACAAACTTGCATTTTTGTTGTCGGTTTTTACATACTGTGTCTTTCCTTGAGTCATGGTCCCAACTTAGGAGAAGCCGGTAGGATTTAGTGAAACTTAGGTAAGGCTTGTCTTGGGAAAATATACTCCAAAAAATGTCTTGCAAGATGGGTAACCTGGAAAAAAACCACATGATCTAGTAAACAGTGCCTATGTTGGGGTTTTTCAAGACAGACAATTTATTTTGGCATCACAGCATGCTTTTCCTTCTTAGCAAAAATTATGAATGGATACAATTTTTAAAGCTGAATTTGAGAGAACAGCAGAATCTATAGCCTTTTCTCACTATCTTATTAACGTAATGGTGCAATTACTTAACTAATATAATTTTTTAGTACTTTTTAAAAAATATTTTATTTATTATTTTTATTTTATGTGTGTGCATGTATTGCCTGCATGTAGGTAAGTGCACCCGTGTCATGCAAGAAGACAGAAGACGCTGTCGGATCCTCTGGAACTGGAATTACGGAGTTGTTAGTTGCCATGTGGGTCCTGGGATTCAAAACTGGGTCTTCTGCAAGAACAACCAGTGCTCTTAACCACTGAGCCATTTTTCCAGCCCTCAACTGAAATAGTTTTAATTTTTATTACATGTATTTAGTGTGTGGTGTATGCATGCCTTGGCACTTGTGTAGTCAGAGGACAGCTTTTGGGAGTCCACTTTTCTTTCTAACCACCTGGGGATCAGGGATTGAACTCAGGTGACAAGGCTTGGTGGCAAGCACCTTTATCCACTAATCCATCTCAGTGGTCCATTAACTCCTATTTGTAAAGCCTTGGTCTATGCTAGGCACAGTTCTTTCTTATTAAATTATTTTTATTTCTTTATTTTTATGTGTTCTGACTACATGTATGTAAATTCACCATGTGCAAGCAAACCTGAGGAGGCCAGAAGATGGTATCTGATCCCTTGGAACTGGAGTTACAGATTACAGATGGTTGTTAGCTGCCCTGTGAGTGCAGGGAACCAAACCTAGGTCCTCTGTAAGAGCAGTCAATGCTCTTAACAGCCCTTAGGCAAAGTTCTTAAATCATGGTGATAAGCTAATTATGCAAAAAGCAGAGTTCTTCCTCACAGTAAAAAAAATATAGTGGTCCTTAGGTACCCATAAGGAGTTGGATCCAGGACCCTTCCTGCTCTTGAATAGGGTGATCTGAATATGTTCAAGTCCTTTATATACAATGGCATTTTTCT